GCTAGAAGAGCAGGGAATGTGATTGCAGTAGCTCTGAGATAGAAACCTCTTGATTACTCATCCACGGTATAAAAGCCCTGTGGAAAAAATGGCACCCAAGAGGTTGTATTTGTATATTTCTGCAGGCAAAGTTTACAGACCTGTAAATTTAAATGTAGAATTTTTGTGGGCAGAATGCATTGACAAATATGCCTGATGGTAATACATCTCCTACTGATAGTACCAGAACAGGTCAATAATAATGCTTATATTGATAGCAGCAATGCAGGAGATGTTACTTGGTATTATAGCTAAAATCCATGTTATCCCCTTAATTATAATTACATTAATATTGACAGGCTGTTGACAATACTCACATTACTATTGATAGATTTCTGTCAATAACATGTTTCCAAATAAAATATATTCATTCATAATTTCTACAATGCTCAATAACAGCACTAATATATACCAGAATAAATTCCTTTTTCCCTTGTGATACACAGTAATTTTTTTTTGTATTGTACAAGTGAGATTGTTTATTTGTTTGGTTAAAAAAAGACAAAACAGGCAAAATATAGGTTATTTAAGAAAGGAACATTTTTTGATTTTTTTTTTTTTTCTGCCAGGCAATTATTTTTTTTTTCTTTCTATACAATGTCTTTGAGAGTAGAAAGTAAAGGGAGCACCTTAAAAGTACCAGTCTTTACTCTTATGCATTAAAGAGTATTTATGTAAGAGGTTCATCACACATTGTTTATTTTATATCTGAATGTTGATACCTGTCCATTACTGGGTCTATGATTCTGAGTTCTTATATTTTAAGCAACTTAGAATAAGAGAGTTAAAACAGCAAGGATTTGACAAATATAATTTAATAAAAAAACGTGGACAAAAACGAGCATTCTCTATATTCTGTTTAGCTCAGCAAAATATAAAAGGCAAAAATAACATTTAAAAAAGTACAAGATAAATGTCTTAACATTTATAGAGTGCGTTTTTATCTAGTTTTACGTTATTATAGTTCTCATTTATTTCTACTGTAGTACTACTGTCTTCAAAAACAGTGTAAACTGAAAACCAACAAATTTCTGAAATTTCTGAAAGGACTTTGTATATAATTAATTTTTAAAGGGAAATTTCCTACCATGGCAAAATTGAGACTAAAATTTAGGGCTCTTCTCAAAGAAACTGTTGTTCTTATTCAGATCATTAGGACTTTTAAAGACATTTTCATAGGACGGTGCAGATTTTAAACTGTCCCTTTTAATATTTGCCTGTGGAAAGCAAATATCTTCCATTTATGTGCAATAAAGCCTGAATTCAGAAGAAAGCATAGTGGATAGCAGAACACAAAGCACACTGAAATGTGTTTGCCCATTAAAATCAGAAGAAATCAGAAGTATATGGATATAATCACTGGGTAATTTGCAGGGTCCAGTTAACAGCCAAGCCATAGCCTATGACAAGCTTTAAATGTTCGTCGGAAAGAACTTCGGAACAGAGTCCAGATTTATTGCTTGAATTTAGAACACTTAATTATTCATCAAAAAGAAAGCTTGTTGTTGTTGCTTTTGACATAGCTATGTTACAAACATAATTTAAAAGATTGCATCATTATTGTTGTTTGGTATTCTTCCTTTTCCATGTAGTCTGTATAAATGTGACTAAAAGTTCAATCGATTTGATAGGTGGTAATTTGGGAAGAGATATTAAACATGACACCATTAAGCAGTATATGTGGTGTTGATTGTGATTTTTATAAAAAGGAGACTTGTTGGATTTGGCAAAATTTCAAAGGTTAACAAACAGTAGTTGTGCTGCTCAGAGTGTTGTCTCAAAAGGGGTTCCCATTTTCTATATACAACGTTCCAGCGCACTCTGGCAGATGCAATGAAATTATTTCATCCAAATACAGTTCTGTATAGGATGGTGGGTGTCTTAGTTTAGGGCAAATTAGGAAGGAAAACTCCAAATGGGGATTTCCCCAGGGAAATGCCCCTCCCCACTAACTGGTCCGGGAAAAGAAAAAAAATTCCTTAGAGAGAAGTGGAAAAAGCTGTTTATTTAACAGAAATTGAGTAATATTAAATAATAAAACCTCTTGCTGTTCGATGGGATGGCAAGTCTAGGAAGAAAAGTCC